ACACTTCAATAATTTTAATTTAAAAAAAGAATCTGTCACACATATTTTCAGTGCTTTTAAATTTTCAAATATTTGTAATTATAACTTTTCAAATGAAGACTCAATGCTACAGTTAAAAATGTTTAGATTTGGGAACCATAATTCTGAGTTTGTGTTTAAAAATATTTACTAGCATTATGGCCAAGTGAAAATTTCTCAGTCTCTTTGATCCTGTGTCCATGTCTGCAAAGTTAAGATAATAATACCTGCCTCATGGGTTTGTGAAGAGAATATTAAATTATATATATTTAAAACATCTTTCATGTTTTATTGACAATATAATGGTCAATCACTATTAGTTTTGTATTCTTAATATAAACAACTTTATAGTAATCTATTATAACCATAGATCCACATTTATTAAGTTATTTTCTCCACTGTTGGGCAATTCCATTAATCATAAGTTTTCCTTTTTTATTTTTTAAATGTAATGCAGAATATACATTCTTTTGTTTATAAACCAGAAGTATCATTTTGGGACCAAAACCACAACTTTACATATTAGTAGTGGTCTGGCAAAATTTTATTTCTATGAATATTTCCCCTGACCATCAGTTTCATCATAATTTTTTCCACATTTACCACTTACATCTTCTCGAGATCTATATTTAATAGAGTTTAATAAATCACAAGTCATCTTGTTAGGTATTTATTTCATTACTATGCATTACTTCCTCTTATGTTTGTTTACTATGTATATACTCATCATTTTAAATATTGAAAACCTGTTTCCAACAGTGGCTGAGATTTCTAACTGTACTAGATGGAAACAACTCTGAATTTTTTAAATTATTATTTTTTATTAATTTACATTTCAGTATCAAATATGCTAGTACATTATAGGCAAGAAAATAATCCTGTGAAGTAATGACCTACTATGAACACCTACTATGTGATAATGACTTTTCCAGTAATCCTGAAGCTATGAAGATGAATAGGATGTAGTCTTTTCCTCACAGGAATAAACAGCTCAGAAGAGGGGTTAAAAGTGAAAACAAAAATTTACAATGCATTTTTATACTACAATGTTCAATGATAGAAAAATGGAGGATGGAATCTTATATTCTTAAGGAAATTTTCAGGAAAATCTTTAGAGAGGTGGAAATTCTTCCTCTTGGCCTTTGAGAATGATCTTTTTAATGTAAGAGGAAGAATTCTAAATAAAGATGTATGCAAGGGCAGGGAGTAAAAAAAATGTAAACTCTGGTAAATTTAAAACAGTAAGCCATTTACTACACAGAATCCATAGTATATGGTTGGATAATGAAGAGGCAGTAGGAGTGGATGTAAAATCTAAAGATTAGTATAAACAGCCCAAAGAATTTGGATTTCTTATTAAAAGGAGAGGAAATACGTGTCATTAAGGAAAGAATCAGGATCCTAAAAATGGAGACAATGGAAGAATTTAGAAGGCTATATCAAGGGTGGGGTTTAAGGAAATATACGGGCCTGAAACTGAGACAGTAGCAATGATGATACAAAACAAGAAACTTATTTTAAGGTTATTTGGCTCACTTGCTAGGTATTGTCTTGTGTGCCTGAGTGTATCAAAACACTTTTATCCAGAGATGAGTAATATAAAAATAGAAATTGAGTACAAGAATAGTAGTGAGATTAGTTTAAAATGCTGGGTTTGAGAAATTTGAATGACATTCAGGAAAAAAAATATCATTTTTCTTGGGTAAGATATAAAATGATCAGATGTCTAAAAAAAGTACAAATGATTGTCTTATTAAGACTTTCTTAGATATCTCTGTTAGCAGTGAAAAAAATTTGCTTTGTAACACCATGTGCAGGGAAAAGAACTGGGCTGAAATCCAGAATGCCACTAATTCCCCAATGAGTGATGAGGCTTATTTCTACAAATAAATACAATTTTGTTGTTGTTTCCCCCCCTTTAGTACTTTGATTTCTGAACAGGTTATAAGGTTCCATTCAATTTTGAATTTCTATGATGCTGAAAAAAAGAACATGGTACCAAAAAGAGGCCTTATCAGCTCTTTAAAATTCATAAGTTATAGCCTATTTAACAGTCATCAGAAGAGTGCCTAGTTTTAAGGGAAAAAAAAAACAAACTTCATGGCCAGCACACATAACTATTCATCTGATACTCAAACTGCTCTCTACAAAGTTTCACCAAATTCTTATGCATCTTTGGGTTGAATCTTCCACATAATTTTCATCACAACTCACGTGATCTTGGTATATTACATATTGCAAAATCTCATTACATTGAGTCAAAATGTGTTTTCATATAGCTTCTAAGTAGTCCAGATACTGTTAAAGATACATTTATTTGATTTTCAAGTGCATTTAGTGCAAAACTTTTAAAATTCTCACAATTGTATCCCTTCAATCTCTATAGAACAAATCTAATCCCTTCTTTCTCTTCTTTTTATGACACTTCTTCAAGAATGAGTCAAATATAACATGTGCCCTGACCTCTTCAATCCCATATTTCTCTACCTAAAATGTTATCATCCTTTTGTTTAACCTTGCAAAAAAATTTGAATATGTAAATATGTAATATTCATGTCTTACATAGATTAATTGTCTTGTTTGACCACTATGAATTACAGTAGAATCCAAGCCTTTAATACCTTAATCTTATCATACATACTGTGTGTAGGTAGATAGATATAGAGATATTGATATATAGATAGAACTATATATTAATATGTATTATTAACAGCTTTGCGCTGCTAACAGTGGCTTTTAATAGCGACAAATCAAACACTTATCTTCAGGCTCGGTATAGATCTAAACAAAGAGACCATATTCACTTACATGCCATGTAATTCCATGAAATGACTGGTTTAATTCTAAAGAGCAAAACCTCTTGTCGGAAACAAGGTCACCATAAAGTGCAGAAGCAAATGAAGCAAATTTCAAGTAAATGTTTGCTTGCCTATATGGTCCTTTGGTGATTGCTGGAAAAACTATATTTGTATATAAATAAAGACTTAACTAGACTTGAGAGGTTCCTTTTTGTTGTTCTTTTATAGTACAGCTTAAAACTATTGAGAAAATTCGCCCTAACAATTTACTGTTTGAGTAAGAAACATCTCAAGACATCCAGGTCCCTCCTGTTTTTTTCATGATATCCTTAAATAATACCTTTATTTGTAATTTTATAATTTTGGAGCACCCATTTCCTTTTATTTCACCCCTTTAATTTAATATGCTTCTGTTTTCTTGATTTTTGTCCAAAAGACCATGTTCTCAAACCCTTGAAAATACCATGCTTCCTCTCTCCAAGTCCCACAGGCATTTAACAATGACCTGCCTGTAACATCAAAAAATATTTCTTATGTTTCTGCATGAAAATTATGGTCACCAGGCAAATACTTTTCTCATAATGATTCTCATCATTGCTTCTTTGGCCTATGTGTTTCTAACACCGTATATCAGAAAACTTAGTATTGGCAGCAAAAGGGTATAAAACATGGACAGGATTTTGGTTCTATCCTGTTGGTAGCTAGAGCTGGTTCCCAGGTAAGAAAATATTACTGTTCTGTAGAAGAGAGTCACTACCGTAAAGTGGGAAGCACATGTGGAAAAAACTTTATACATGTTCCTTGTCGAGTGTGTCTTCCAGACAGTCCGGAGGATTCCCGGATAGGAACTAACCACTATCAGAAAGGTATTCACTGATGTCGCTCCAGAGACGACAGAAAATAAAACCTCACTGTACTGGGTGTCAGAACAGGAGAGTTGCAAAAGCAATGGAATATCACAAAAATAATGGTTCATGACGTTGGACCTACAGAAAGACAGGCTGAGCAAGCCACTCAGGTGAATGAATGAGTTAGGACAACCTAGTAGGTTGGAAGCCGTCACCAGGTACATACACAATGCGGGGGTCAGGAGACCTCTGTAGTGAAGTGGGTGGCAAACGGCAACATACCGGTCATACGCCATTGCAGCCAGGAGGAAGCATTCAGTGGTCAGGAACATGGTGGCAAGGGAACACTGAAGGAGGCAGCCAGGATAGGAGATGGCCGTCTGTCCTGCTATGTAGTTCGCTAACATTTTAGGAATGAAGACTGAGGAATAGCAGAAATCTAAGAAAACCAGCTGGCAAAGAAAAAAGTACTTGGGAGGATGGAGCTGGGCACTAGCCAGAATTAGTGCCATAACCCAAACGTCGCCCCCAGTAATGAGATAGATCAAGAGAAACAGCATGAAAAGGACAGCATTCAGTTCAGGGCTGTCAGTCAAGCCCAGGAGGGTGAATTCGGTGACCACGCTGGTGTTTCTGCGAGCCATTTACGTTGTTCCTCTAGGAAGAATCTCCAGGAGACACGGGGAAAAAGAAAAATAACCAAAGATACAGCTTGGACACATGAATTCAGTTCACTAGTTTCTTTAGAAAACTGCACAGTTTTAGGTCATCAACAATAATAATCCACAGAAAAACATTTATCGCAAGTAATTCAAAATTTTAGTTGGCTCAGAGTTGCACCGGGAGATATAAATTGGCGTTATGCACCACATAAGAGCCCCTCAAGAAATTAAAATACCCTTGGAGAATCCTGATAGGAACGTTTGTTTACAGAGTTCAAGAGCTAGAGCCTGGATAACAGTATAGTCCACATTCCAGAACACAAGACAAGAACTTCATATTGTAAGGAGCGGCGTTCATTAACAACGAGCCCGAGCCCTCAGTATTTAATGGGTGAATTTCTGAGACATGTCGAACATTTTCTCTGTGACATCTTTTTAACTTTGACAATGAACACACATGACGAATGCATTAAACAATAAAAACAAACAATATATACATATTTAAATCTGTGCCTCTGTTATGTATGTGTTTATATATAACATTTAATAAAACATAAGACATCATCTATAAAAACAAAAAATGAAAATCAAGGGTGTCCAGAAAAGACAGTTAAAAACCATTTTCTCTCATAATAACATGACTTATTTATTAAAATTCACTTGTTCCAAGAGGTCATTCTTTGCTACTCCAACAGATGTTTATCACTCCATCATTTGATTTCCTATAGCAAGTTTTATCCAATGGTTTCTATTAATCTACATGAGATGTTTTTTCCATTAAGATTTAATAAGGAAACTTTTAAATATATTTTAATCCTTTCAGTCAAAAAATCTCAAGCCTGATTTTCGGAACAATGCATGTGCTTTTGGCACAATAGATCACATATCAATCTAGTTTTTATCCAGGAAAAAGATAGATAATTTTAGTTAGGCTTTATATATTACCCAAAATACATGAAAGTAAAGTGCTGATGGCTAATGTGTTTGGGGAATACTTAGTTAAATGATGTTTAAGGAAAGCTTTCTTTAAACATCATTGAAAGGACTTACAGGACAATATAATATGCTACTATGCTTTGGGAGTTTCCAATGAGAGAAAGAAATAATATAGAGTATGTTTCATATCAATCTGATGATTGAATCTATTTTAACTGAACATTTATGATTATGGCATTCTATAATCCATGCCTTGGGAAGAATACTTCCCTAATATTGAATGAACAATGATAAAGACATGGGCTTGGATTTCTACCCTTCACTACCAGAGTGATTGATGTTTACGTTAATTAACAATTCAAACACTGCAAATCATATGACAGAATAGCTTTGGTATTGTCCGTTTCACTGAAAAGCCAGAGGATGGCTAGTCCCTTTTCACTACATTGAACTGGGATTTCAAGTCTAATGCTTAGTTTCCTTGCCTAATGTAGTTTCACCTATAAACCCTTGTCCAGAGGTAGTTGTGAAGAATGAATAAGAGAATATGTAAGAACTGTCTGGCCCACCGTAGGTTGTCTCTGAGTAACTGCTGTATATTCAAAGGAAAGCAATTAAAAAAGAGAGTCTGAATTAACTGTTCACCTATTGGACAGATGGCTTTTGACTAAAATAGTTTTCAGGTTCTTTGCTTTTTTTGGTTTAGTTTTATAGTGACTTTGATGATAACTTTCTTCATATTTCATTGATTCTATATTTCTTTCTTTGTTTCTAAATTATTATTTATAATTTAATAGATAATAATTGTCATCTGGACTACACTTCACACGGTGTGTTTCTTTTGCTGTAAAGTCTGTTATATACAATAAATTTTTTTGCATCTAAAAATTAGCTTTGATAGTGAGGCCAAGTAAATCATTGTTCTTTCTTCAGGTTTAGGGAAATTCAATGGTTTGTAATAATCCATCTTGGATTTTAAAGAATTCCTTTAAGTAAACTCAGCTCTTGCAATCGGTATAATTATATGTACATAACTATATTAAGCTTTAAATATAAAGACCTAAGGACATATAGAATAAATCCACTAATTATTTCAATAATTGGAATGTATTTGAGGCAGATTATTTTTCTTCACATCCCATTCACAGCGTATTGAGAACTGCTGTGTTTATAAAGCATCCAGAAAACGCATTTGTAATTTCCTTGTTAGAACACTCAATATAACATCTACCTGGAGTGAGAGGAAACCTGGCCTTTCGTATAGGTTTTCTGACTCACGTTTATACTTGGCTTAGGGTCGTTGGAGGATGGAATCCCCAGTGGTTCAGGGAGCACTGGGTTGCACGGAAACGGCTAAAGGGAAGCCTGGGGAAAGGAAGGCCCCGGGCCAACTTTCCAAATCCTAGCGATTTGTGTGTTTAGCCTTTTCTCTGCTTTAGAGAAAACCGCTCATGTTCTTGCCTTACTTATATGGGACATTACAAGGAAAAGCTGACTTATTAGAAAGTAACTCTTCCAGTGTTTATAATTATATATACATACTCTCCATAAGACATCTTTTCTTAATTTTAAAGTGATGTTTCATTTGTATTTGTTGATGACCATGTGCTTCTAAATACATTGTTATTGGTAGTAATTATGAGAAATACACACATATTTCAACATAAGACAACCCAAAAGAGGCAGAAGCAATTAATAAATAGAATGTATATGTGTGTGTGTTTTCACAAATTGGATTATCTTTTAATATTAAGGGTAATTTAGCCAATTATGACACTAAGTATCAGTTTCAACATTTTTGTCACTATATTGGCTGAACATAAAAGTAAGTTTCAGAAGTACTACATTGGCTACTTAGAGAAAAGAATAAAAAAATATAAAAGGGAATAAGTACAGGATGAAATAATAGGCTACATTTTAAAAGGGGGAGGGGCAATTCACAATACATAAGCCACTAAGATAAGTCAAATGCATCCAAACCAACACACACAGAAACAAGGTGGTAAAAATCGGGAGTGATTTTAAAATGAGGCAATCATGAAAACAGACTAGCATTCAGGGAATGCTATGATTAGTTTTGTTAATAAGAGTTTTTTTCCTTGGCAATCAGCATTAAGAAGTATCATAGCTGGAATGGTTTCTATTTATTAAATGCCTAAATGCCTAGTATTTTCCAGGCATTTTACAACTGTTATGTCTAATCATTATGTGTTTTTATTGAATTAAATATTCTGATTCATATGATTGATATTACAGATGCTCAGGATAATTAAAGAAATTCTCTAAGTTTGCACTTTAGGAGGTGGTAGAACACTAATTTTGATACAATGCTTGTGTGATTTAAAAATCTGTGGTCTTTTGCTACTTATTCCATGCAGCCTTTTGATACTGACAAAGTAAGGAGTGAACATAATAGTGATAGAATTTAAAACCATATTGCATAAAGAATAATGGAAACAGGAGGAAATATCCAGGGTAAAATAATTGGACTCACGATGGTATTCTAGCGAAAGCTTAACATGTCAGGAGCCTAAGAATGAAGAGTAAGAATATGTGAATTCTAAGACTTTGTAAGACATAGAGGACAAATTGATATAAACTCTAAGGAGTGATGTATATCTTGCTTAAATTTCTTTAAAAGCCATTATTGGTAAAATTTAACAAAACCAGATTTTGAAAGGGAAAGTAGACACCATTGAGAGTATTTTTAGAGAGTGTTTTATATTTGATTAGGAGTTAGATGGGATGGCAGTATGATCCCTAGATGTCCACGATTTTGGGAGTTTGAATTTGTCCACAGGCCATATTTGACCAAGGACAACTGAAAATTGTCATCGAAGCTATGGTTTATATAATCATTGTAACCTCACAGGGCAAGACCAAATTTCAAGTCTTAGGGATGTGGATTCATTGCACGGGCTTGTGGGTTTCTTCTCAATAAGTGTCAAACGTCACCACCATGCAAATGTGGCCATGACCAATCCATTTGTTACCAGCAACTCATTTTCCTGATGAGCTC